CTCACACACTGAGGTGGACAGGCCACACACACACACACACTGAGGTGGACAGGCCACACACACACACACACACACTGAGGTGGACAGGCCACACACACACACACACACACTGAGGTGGACAGGCCACACACACACTGAGGTGGACAGGCCACACACACACACACACACTGAGGTGGACAGGCCACACACACACTGAGGTGGACAGGCCACACACACACACACACACACACACACACACACTCACACACTGAGGTGGACAGGCCACACACACACACACTCTGAGGTGGACAGGCCACACACACACACACACACACACACACACACACTGAGGTGGACAGGCCACACACACACACACACTGAGGTGGACAGGCCACACACACACACACACACACACACACACACACACACACACACACACACACACACACACACACACACACACACACACACAACACACACACACACACACACACACACACACACACACACACACCTTGACCACAATTTGGTGAAACGTGGATTTGCATGAAGAAAAGCCACTTCCAGGCCGTCTGACCTGAAGCCACATCCTGGAGCTCCTTCCTCGCCCTCACCCCCCCTCCTCCCCCCCGCTCTATCTGCGCTGGGATTGGCTGTCGGCAGCTGTCAGTCACCCGCTCAGGTTGGGACTGTGGGTTGTTCTGAGCGATGGGTTTTCAGGTTTTGGGGTTTAGTTTAGTTTAGTTTGGTTTGAGGCTCTCTGACCACCGACACCAGACCTCTGCTGCACACACACACACACACACACACACAGCTGTAACACAAGGTGAGTACCCCACAACACACACACACTAAAGAGGAACACACTGTGGGGGGGATTTCTCTACGAAAACCCACAGAAATATTGAATCTGACAGAAAACACCGCAGGAGTGTAACAGAGTGCATTTTGCAAATACCTCTCCATACAGAGATTGTCTTTTCATTGTTATATTTCAGTCATAATTAGAAACTGTATTTGTGTTTTTTCTAATTGTTTGTTTTCTTATCACAGAAGTGAATTCGTCTGTTGTCCCTCCGTCCGTCTGCCTCATGCTGATGTGTTGAAAATAATGATCATTTCTTTGCAATCAATGCGTCCAAAAATGTAATTTCCGTGTGAACTAGTCTCTAATATTTAACATGCTTACATTTCTATTTGATTTAACATGCTGGCCATGTAACGTCTCCTTTGCTTCATGTAATGATGTAGTTTTAAATCATCTTTGAGCAGTGACATGAAGACGTTGTGTTTTAACTTTTAACTCCTAAACATTTCCTAAATTGGACAGTCTTGCACGAATGTACATTTCTCAAAGATATTGAAGTGACTGTTATTTTGTATATATATCGATTGTTGTGCCTTTAATGTGTGCATACAAATGTGTCACTTGATTGTGTACATACATATTTTTATATATATTTGTATATGTGTACTTGTGGGAAACGGTATTTCGATCTCTGTACACACAAACTGAAAGATTGACAATAAAGTTGACTAAAAATAATTTCTGTGTTAAACAGATTTCTACGATGGCTTCAAACAGTCTGTTCAGCAGCAGCTCCGTGATGTACTGGGGTGAGTGTGTGTGTGTGTGTGTGTGTGTGTGTGTGTGTGTGTGTGTGTGTGTGTGTGTGTGTGTGTGTGTGTGTGTGTGTGTGTGTGTGTGTGTCTCACATCATGCTCTGCAGCTCGGGGATGAAGCTGGTTCTGTTGGCTGGACGCTCTTTAGAGCTGGAGGCCATCGGGCTGCTCATCTCCTGAAGACAACAAACTATATAAATAAAACATTTACACTACATAATATAATATATATATATATATGATGTGTTTTATAATGATTGATCATGAAAGTGTTCTCAAAGCTGGTGAAGGTGCAGCTAGTTTGAAGTACTTTGTATACTGCAGGGTAGCTGGTGGATTTACTCCAGGTGGAACTAAAGTCTGATTCAACACTTGATTATATTTCACATCATTCATCCAGATCTGTGAAGTAACTAAAGGTATTAATACATGTAGTGGAGGAAAAGTACACAGTAGCATAACATGGAAATACTCGAAGTAAAGTACAAGTACCTGAAATTGTACTTGAGTAAATGTACTTAGTTACTTTACACCAACAATAGACACTGATCTAAATGTAGTCTGTAATGTACTTGTATGGATCATTTAACCAAAACAAAACGGCCTGCAGAACTAAAATAACAACATAGCAGAACACACACTCACACTCACACACACACACACACTCACACTCACACACACACTCACACTCACACTCACACTCACACTCACACACACACTCACACACACACTCACTCACAGGTGTGACCACAGCCCCCCGGCAGCAGATCTGAATAATAAAGAGCAGCTTCCCTCCTATTCAAACCTGCGGTGCATGAAACACACAGAGAGAAAATGAGGAGGAAAGAGATCTACAAATAGTTTCTAAACGTCCTCGAGTCGTCGGTAAACTCTACAGGACATTGTATATTTGTTTCACCGCAAATGAGCGTTGAAACAAAGTAAACACGTCATAGTAAAACATTTTCATTAATTGTATTCATTGTTTTATATTAAGTTAAGTACTTGTTTTATTGATTTTTTTATAATGTTATTATACATTTAAATCCAATGTTATTTTAAGGAAAACGTAAAAAATAATAACTGTGAAGTTGAAACTTTACTTATTTTTGCCTAAAAATGTCCAAAACAACACCTTTAGATTCAGTTACAGTTACAGAATAACATCGTTTACACAGACCGTGTTCAACTTCATTAACAATGCAACATCTGGCAATTAATGGGGAAATACGAGTGTTTTGTGCAGAAATGTGAATAAAGCGTCGCGTTTCCCTCCTGTTCAAACCTGCGGTGATACAACACAAAGAGAGGCAGAGAGAGAGGGGGAGACATGGGGGGGGGGGAGATGTACAAATGGTTTAAAATGTAGTTTAAATACCTTTAAATTCCCACCAAAACTCGTTTCTCAACGTTGTTTCTGCTCCTGTTTACGATGTGTTTGATTTCGGCGCGATTTGATGACGATCCAGGAACCAAGAGCTGCAGCGGGGATTCTGGGAGTTGTCGTTTTTAGCACTTGTTTTTGACAAAGCGGTTAGATTGTCGTCACTCATATTCATATATCTTCTTAATGGTTTTAATATGTGAAAATAACAAGCACCTTAAAATGCTTTATAGTAGGCCTATGTGGAAATATTATTATCAAGTGTAGAGGCTCTGTGTGTGTGTGTGTGTGTATGTGTGTGTGTGTGTGTGTGTGTGTGTGTGTGTGTGTGTGTGTGTGTGTGTGTGTGTGTGTGTGTGTGTGTGTGTGTGTGTGTGTGTGTGTGTGTGTGTGTGTGTGTGTGTGTGTGTGTGTGTGTGTGTGAACATTAATTTAAGTAAACAATTTAGCACTTAGTTCGCTCTTATCTTTGTATTATAAAATTGTATATTTCTAAATGTTTAAATATTGAACTACTTCATATTAATTGTTTTTATACATTGTAGTTCAATGTGCACAGATATACTCTGACTACAATATGTGTTATAAATATTTGTATTATATTTATGTATTTTAAATGGAGCAATTGTCACAAAATCCAATTCAACAAATTATTTCTAATTCTGATTTGGATTTACAGCAATATTATAAAGACATATTAACCGTTGTATTTTTGTTATATATTGTAGTACAATGTTAAAGATGTTATTTTTAACCTCTCGTTATTCATATAAACTTTTGTATTATTATTATTATGTATTTATTTTCATTCTAAAACATCTTCAGCATCTTCAACAATTTCCTCCTTGAATAAATACATTTGGGGTTCAGGGGTTTAATCAAGGCACAGATTACAGGTTTATTATGAGTCAAGGTTCAAGTGAAAAAGCACAGAAACAAATCTCTGCAACTAGTCACTAGTTCTATACAACTAGTCCCTGGATTTAAGCAACTAGTCCTAAAGACTTCTGCAACTAGTCCTCTTCAACTAGTCCCAAAGACTTCTGCAACTAGTCCTCTTCAACTAGTCCCAAAGACTTCTGCAACTAGTCCTCTTCAACTAGTCCTAAAGACTTCTGCAACTAGTCCTCTTCAACTAGTCCCAAAGACTTCTGCAACTAGTCCTCTTCAACTAGTCCCAAAGACTTCTGCAACTAGTCCTCTTCAACTAGTCCCAAAGACTTCTGCAACTAGTCCTCTTCAACTAGTCCCAAAGACTTCTGCAACTAGTCCTCTTCAACTAGTCCCAAAGACTTCTGCAACTAGTCCTCTTCAACTAGTCCCAAAGACTTCTGCAACTAGTCCTCTTCAACTAGTCCAAAAGACTTCTGCAACTAGTCCCAAAGACTTCTGCAACTAGTCCTAAAGACTTCTGCAACTAGTCCTCTTCAACTAGTTCCAAAGACTTCTGCAACTAGTCCTCTTCAACTAGTCCCAAAGACTTCTGCAACTAGTCCCAAAGACTTCTGCAACTAGTCCAAAAGACTTATGCAACTAGTCCCAAAGACTTCTGCAACTAGTCCTCTTCAACTAGTCCCAAAGACTTCTGCAACTAGTCCTCTTCAACTAGTCCCAAAGACTTCTGCAACTAGTCCTCTTCAACTAGTCCCAAAGACTTCTGCAACTAGTCCTCTTCAACTAGTCCCAAAGACTTCTGCAACTAGTCCTCTTCAACTAGTCCCAAAGACTTCTGCAACTAGTCCTCTTCAACTAGTCCCAAAGACTTCTGCAACTAGTCCTCTTCAACTAGTCCTAAAGACTTCTGCAACTAGTCCTCTTCAACTAGTCCCAAAGACTTCTGCAACTAGTCCTCTTCAACTAGTCCCAAAGACTTCTGCAACTAGTCCTCTTCAACTAGTCCCAAAGACTTCTGCAACTAGTCCTCTTCAACTAGTCCCAAAGACTTCTGCAACTAGTCCTCTTCAACTAGTCCCAAAGACTTCTGCAACTAGTCCTCTTCAACTAGTCCCAAAGACTTCTGCAACTAGTCCTCTTCAACTAGTCCCAAAGACTTCTGCAACTAGTCCTCTTCAACTAGTCCTAAAGACTTCTGCAACTAGTCCTCTTCAACTAGTCCCAAAGACTTCTGCAACTAGTCCTCTTCAACTAGTCCTAAAGACTTCTGCAACTAGTCCTCTTCAACTAGTCCCAAAGACTTCTGCAACTAGTCCTCTTCAACTAGTCCCAAAGACTTATGCAACTAGTCCCAAAGACTTCTGCAACTAGTCCTCTTCAACTAGTCCAGTGCTTCTCAAAGTGTGGTCCGCGGACCACTGGTGGTCCGTGATTGCCTCCTAGTGGTCCGTGAGTATATTAGTAACATTTCTTATTTGAAATAAATACATTTAAGTTTTCCGCACTCTCAAGGGAATATCTCCGCAATGGAGCGAGGTTAAGTTTTACTTTCAATTGCATGATATAGCCCAGCGCAACACCTTCATCAATCATGTTGCCACTTGTTTCTACCATTTTCAGGCGATTTGTAATTTGTTCTAGAAAAACGATGTGTTTTTTGATATTTGTGGAGTTAGGTGGTCCGTGAGTGTTTTTTTATTGGTTAAGTGTCCTTGGTATGAAAAAGTTTGAGAAACACTGAACTAGTCCCATGCATTTTGATTTCAAACAATAACAAAACACATGAAAGGAAAACCTGTGCAGTAATGAATCTGAATCCGGTTTATCACCAGGTGACACGTACGAGGAATTTGACTTGATGTCGTGGTGAAAGTAAAACAAACATTAAAAACACAGATAGAGAACTATTTTAAGAAAACTATAATAACATTTTTTTTTTAAATATAGGAGTATTTACATAGAAATGGAATAAAATGTGGAATAAAATTCTGCAGCAATAAGAAAAGAAAACGAAAAGAAAACAGATATTGTATTATAAAAATATAAAGACAAAAGTATTCAAATGTTTCTGTCTATCTCAGATCCTGCAGTGAAGAGGAGGCCATCACCACCAGAGGACCAAAATGTGATATCCCTCCGCGGCACAGCGCCCCCTAGAGGCCTGCAGGAGGACCATGAAGTGATATCCCTCCGTGGCACAGCGCCCCCTAGAGGCCTGCAGGAGGACCAAAATGTGATATCCCTCCGCGGCACAGCGCCCCCTAGAGGCCTGCAGGAGGACCAAAATGTGATATCCCTCCACGGCACAGCGCCCCCTAGAGGCCTGCAGGAGGACCATGAAGTGATATCCCTCCGCGGCACAGCGCCCCCTTAGAGGCCTGCAGGAGGACCATGAAGTGATATCCCTCCACGGCACAGCGCCCCCTAGAGGCCTGCAGGAGAACCATAATGTGATATCCCTCCGCGGCACAGCGCCCCCTAGAGGCCTGGTTCAGACCGACAGCCCTAACTTCCTGTGCAGCAGCGTGCCTCAGCACTGGAGGAGCAACAAGAGCCTGCCCAGGGTCTTCAGCGTGAGGAACACTCTTATATATAATATAGAGTTTAATTCAGGGATTTAGCCAAGGCACAGTTTACAGGTTTATTATGAGTCAGTGTTCAAGTGAAAAAGCACATGCATCTCTGCAACAAGTCTAGGTCTAAGTGGTGCACTAGTCATAACTTTAGTTTGGTCTTAACCTTCGGTTCTACGTCAGACGTAGAGTTACGCCCAGTCTTACGCCCAGCTGGTGCACTCCACTCCAGGATTTCAGCAAATAGTCCTAAAGACTTCTGCAACTATACCTTTTAACTCTTCAAGTTGTCACTAGATCTCTGAAAATAGTTTTTAGTCCTCTTCAACTGGCTCCGCTCTGCAACTAGACATAGACGTCTGGATCTAGTCCCCATAGTTTCAAACAAACAAAAAATGAGTGAATAACATAAACAACCTCATGAAAGGACAAAATGATGTATATATTATGTACAGTCATTATAGTCATTTCGACAAAAACAATGCAAGTGTTACTTAAATAGATGAGTTAGGAGGGATAATGCTAAATATAAAATTGTTATATTGCCCTAGAAAGCTTAGAGAGGGGTACAATTAAATACAAATATGTTAATAGAAGGATTTATTTCCTCCTTTTCTGGCATACTTTGAATTTCGCTGCAGTTTTATTCAAGCTTTAGCTAAAGAAACCCCCCCCCCTAAAATACATAATATAATTTGTAATATTTCTGTAGTTTTTAAACCTTTTGTCAGAAAGTAATCCTGTGTGTCTCCGGAATACAGGTGGTTGCCCTGGGAAACGACGTTCCTGACGGTGTTGTTGTCGTGGTGATGGCCGGGAATGATGACAACAGCAGGGCGGAGCTACGTAACGCCACGGCAACCATGAAGCAGGGACACGCCTACTTCACTGACCTGCGCTTCATAGGGCGCAGCGGCAGAGGTGAAAACACATTGATAACAATAAGCAGAGGTGGGAAGTATTGGAGTACAAATACTCCGTTACTGTACTTAAGTGCATTTTTCTGGTATCAGTACTTTACTCCACTACTTATTTCTCAGACCACTTTTGACTTTTACTTCTTACATTTTGAACCCAAATACCTGTACTTTCTACTTCTTACATTTTGAACCCAAATACCTGTACTTTCTACTTCTTACATGTTGAACTCAAATACCTGTACTTTCTACTTCTTACATGTTGAACCCAAATACCTGTACTTTCTACTTCTTACATGTTGAACCCAAATACCTGTACTTTCTACTTCTTACATGTTGAACCCAAATACCTGTACTTTCTACTTCTTACATGTTGAACACAAATACCTGTACTTTCTACTTCTCACATGTTGAACCCAAATACCTGTACTTTCTACTTCTTACATGTTGAACTCAAATACCTGTACTTTCTACTTCTTACATGTTGAACTCAAATACCTGTACTTTCTACTTCTTACATGTTGAACCCAACTACCTGTACTTTCTACTTCTTACATGTTGAACCCAAATACCTGTACTTTCTACTTCTTACATGTTGAACCCAAATACCTGTACTTTCTACTTCTTACATGTTGAACACAAATACCTGTACTTTCTACTTCTCACATGTTGAAACACAAATACCTGTCCTTTCTACTTCTTACATGTTGAACTCAAATACCTGTACTTCTACTTCTTACATGTTGAACTCAAATACCTGTACTTTCTACTTCTTACATGTTGAAACTAATAACCTGTACTTTCTACTTCTTACATGTTGAACACAAATACCTGTACTTTCTACTTCTTACATGTTGAACCCAAATACCTGTACTTTCTACTTTACGTTGAAACCCAAATACCTGTACTTTCTACTTCTTACATGTTGAACACAAATACCTGTACTTTTACTTCTTACATGTTGAACCCAAATACCTGTACTTTCTACTTTACATGTTGAACCCAATACTGTACTTTCTACTTCACATGTTGAACACCAAATACCTGTACTTTCTACTTCTTACATGTTGAACTCAAATACCTGTACTTTCTACTTCTACATGTTGAACCCACAATACCTGTACTTTCTACTTCTTACATGTTGAACCCAAATACCTGTACTTTCTACTTCTTACATGTTGAACCAAATACCTGTACTTTCTACTTTACATGTTGAACCAAATACCTGTACTTTCTACTTCTTACATGTTGAACCCAAATACCTGTACTTTCTACTTCTTACATGTTGAACCAAATACCTGTACTTTCTACTTCTTACATGTTGAACACAAATACCTGTACTTTTACTTCTTACATGTTGAACCAAATACCTGTACTTTCTACTTCTTACATGTTGAACTCAAATACCTGTACTTTCTACTTCTTACATTTGAACACAAATACCTGTACTTTCTACTTCTTACATGTTGAACTCAAAATACCTGTACTTCTATTTCACATGTTGAACTCACAAAACCTGTACTCTACTTCTTCTAGTTGAACTCAAATACCTGTACTTTCTACTTCTTACATGTTGAACTCAAATACCTGTACTTTCTACTTCTTACATGTTGAACACAAATACCTGTACTTTCTACTTCTTACATGTTGAACCAAATACCTGTACTTTCTACTTCTTACATGTTGAACTCAAATACCTGTACTTTCTACTTCTTACATGTTGAACACAAATACCTGTACTTTCTACTTCTTACATGTTGAACACAAATACCTGTACTTTCTACTTCTTACATGTTGAACCCAAATACCTGTACTTTCTACTTCTTACATGTTGAACTCAAATACCTGTACTTTCTACTTCTTACATGTTGAACTCAAATACCTGTACTTTCTACTTCTTACATGTTGAACAAATACCTGTACTTTCTACTTCTTACATGTTGAACCCAAATACCTGTACTTTCTACTTCTTACATGTGACACAAATACCTGTACTTTTCTTCTTACATTTGAACTCAAATACCTGTACTTTCTACTTCTTACATGTTGAACTCAAATACCTGTACTTTCTACTTCTTACATGTTGAACTCAAATACCTGTACTTTCTACTTCTTACATGTTGAACTCAAATACCTGTACTTTCTACTTCTTACATGTTGAACCCAAAATACCTGTACTTTCTACTTCTACATGTTGAACCCAAATACCTGTACTTTCTACTTCTTACATGTTGAACCCAAATACCTGTACTTTCTACTCTACATGTGAACTTCAAATACCTGTACTTTCTACTTCTTACATGTTGAACTCAATACTGTACTTTCTACTTCTTACATGTTGAACCCAAATACCTGTACTTTCTACTTCTTACATGTTGAACAAATACCTGTACTTTCTACTTCTTACATGTTGAACACAAATACCTGTACTTTCTACTTCTTACATGTTGAACTCAAATACCTGTACTTTCTACTTCTTACATGTTGACTCAAATACCTGTACTTTCTACTTCTTACATGTTAACACAAATACCTGTACTTTTCTACTTCTACATGTTGAACACAAATACCTGTACTTTCTACTTCTTACATGTTGAACACAAATACCTGTACTTTCTACTTCTTACATGTTGAACCCAAATACCTGTACTTTCTACTTCTTACATGTTGAACACAAATACCTGTACTTTCTACTTCTTACATTTTGAACTCAAATACCTGTACTTTCTACTTCTTACATGTTGAACACAAATACCTGTACTTTCTACTTCTTACATGTTGAACTCAAATACCTGTACTTCTACTTCTTACATGTTGAACTCAAATACCTGTACTTTCTACTTCTTACATGTTGAACCCAAATACCTGTACTTTCTACTTCTTACATGTTGAACCCAAATACCTGTACTTTCTACTTCTTACATGTTGAACTCAAATACCTGTACTTTCTACTTCTTACATGTTGAACCCAAATACCTGTACTTTCTACTTCTTACATGTTGAACCCAAATACCTGTACTTTCTACTTCTTACATGTTGAACCCAAATACCTGTACTTTCTACTTCTTACATGTTGAACACAAATACCTGTACTTTCTACTTCTTACATGTTGAACCCAAATACCTGTACTTTCTACTTCTTACATGTTGAACACAAATACCTGTACTTTCTACTTCTTACATGTTGAACTCAAATACCTGTACTTTCTACTTCTTACATGTTGAACTCAAATACCTGTACTTTCTACTTCTTACATGTTGAACTCAAATACCTGTACTTTCTACTTCTTACATGTTGAACACAAATACCTGTACTTTCTACTTCTTACATGTTGAACACAAATACCTGTACTTTCTACTTCTTACATGTTGAACACAAATACCTGTACTTTCTACTTCTTACATGTTGAACACAAATACCTGTACTTTCTACTTCTTACATGTTGAACACAAATACCTGTACTTTCTACTTTTTACATGTTGAACCCAAATACCTGTACTTTCTACTTCTTACATGTTGAACTCAAATACCTGTACTTTCTACTTCTTACATGTTGAACACAAATACCTGTACTTTCTACTTCTCTCATTTTCCAAACAGCTGGTTCCTTTAGTCTGAATGTGTGTTTGGTGCGTGATCATTATTCTTTAGAGTCATTGCGTGCCTATTGATTTGAACACGATCCGTGTATCCAGTGGCGTTTCTAGGTGTACAAAACTGGGGGGGCAGAAAGAGGTCGAGAGAGAAAGAGAGGGGGGGGGGGGACAGAGAGAGGGAGGAGAGAGAGAGGGGGGACAGAGAGAGGGGGGAGGAGAGAGAGAGGGGGAGTGTCAAATTACATACTGAAGACCACAGGAACAACACTGTGAGCGCATACATTTACGTACACAGCATGGGGATGTCATAGTAATGCACCTTCATACATGGAGTAAAGGTCACCATCACAAAGTAATTCTTAACAATAACAACAACCGTAATGCTTTAGCATTAAAACACCATAGACTGTAAATATAAGGAAAACACAGACACTCATCACCGAGGTCACAATATCAATCGATCCAGCAGAGGCAAAACACAGAAGATCAACAAAATATATGACATAAATGAACTTACCAAAGCTGAAGGCTCACTTGAAAAGAAAAGCGGCACGGCGGTCCTTCCTCTGACAGAATGTGTCTATCACTTTGGCGATGAAGTCCTGTAGTTGCTGGATCAACTGGCTTTCAATTGAAAGCATGGCCAATGCGTTAAGTCGCGGCTGTCCCATGGTGTTGCGAGTGAAAGTCTTTATCCTTTTGAGGGTGGAAAAGTTCCTCTCTGACTCGGATGTCGTCATCGGAGTTGTCACTATTATTTTGACCAAAATAACAGTCTCAGCAAACGTTTCCTCCAAGTTGTTCTCGTGAATGGATTTCAACAGAGACAGGGCAGTGTTTCCAGTGTGAAGCTCACTGTGGCGGTAGAGCGTGGTCAGCTCAGACTTCAACTTCTCCTTGTTTCCCAACGCAGGCCACAGTTTCACGGCGCAGTCAAGCTCAGGTGTAGGAAATGACAGGACATGCTGTGGGAAGAATGAGCTGTCAACAAGCTTTGCAGCGATCAAATGGTCACTCTGTGAGAACCTCTGTTCCACCTGTGAGATGACTGTGTCACAAGCCTCCTTCATCACCGGCGCTGTGCTGCTGACTCGTCGGCCTGGCTCGTCTGTTCCATCATGAGCAGTGGCGGCCAATGCATCAGTTTTCTGCCTCATTTTCTGAACATTTCCTTGAAACGGCAGAGCGCGCTGTTGATCCCAGGTGCATCGATGCTTCGTTTTTGCAGAGTGTTGTATAGAACATCCACTTCTGGCATAAGCAACGAAAAAAACTCCAGGAGCTGCATAAATGCTCGGTCCCGCAGTTTCTTTGACAGGCCGTATGCCTCACTTATGGTGACCGCATCCCATCCTGGTTGTGCGCATATATGCTTCATACACTGAAGTAGTGCATCTCGGGTCTCCCAAACCGCGTTCCATCTCACAGCCGGTGTTCCGGATTAACTGGTTCCCCGATCAACTGGTTGACAGATGTGGAGGCGTGGCCTTCGACTGAAATACACATTTCGATCGCTTCTTCTGTCGTTTACATAAATCTTTTGGTATATTTGGCTCCATAGGAACACTTTCATGCACATTCAGTACCAGTGTGTGAGGTTGTGGTTACGATGGCGATATCCGGACGCGAACAGCGAAGACTACAAAAAGAAAAACGAGTTGACTGGGGATGTCTGTTCAAAACATTGCGAGCTCCAATAAATCATTTAAACCAGCTATTGTTGCCAGACTTATTACTGAATATCGGTCTTAATGTGATACCAAGTCCATCTGAGACCTGTGTACACCTTCAGACAGCCTCCAAGTGAAGCACATGTTCTTTACTCACAGTTTGAAAGCAGCGTGGAGAAGTCTTCAGCTGTGTTAAGCTGTGATCCGCTCGAATAAATCCTTAAAACCAGCTATTGTTGCCCGACTTATCACTGAATATCGTTCCTAATGTGATACCAAGTCCATCTGAGACATGTGTACACCTTCAGACAGCCTCCCAGTGAAGCGTACGTTGTTTACTCAGAGTTTGAAAGCAGCGTGGAGAAGTCTTCAGCTGTGTTAAACTGTGATCCTCTCAGGTAAACTGTGATTCGCCCATGGGGAAATGGGATCCGCCCAGATTAAACTGTGTTACGACTTTTGTGGCTATCTACCAGCGATCATGTTTAATATGAAAGACACACACATCTACATCCCTTATAAAAACGACATTCTTCAGCACTCATCCAGATAACATGTGACTGTTAACTCGTTTTGCAAAGATAACAGCAGAAATGTCATTGCTGCATGTGCAGGGATATTAGACTTTAAAATGCTGATGGGTCATTAATGTTGGTCTCGGCAAACAATATTAGGAATCCTCTATTCAAACCACATAATATTCAGTGTCCATCGACATGAAAATAACAAAAAAGTTCATGCTGGACTCAAACCCGAGTTCCAACAGCAAAAGTCACTCCAGCCCTGCGCGTTATGAGTGCACCACAGATCAACACGACATATCGAACCACCACACTATAATATTTTAGATTAACCTTAACACACTTATATGTAAAACTAACACTTATCACAACATAATGTCGGCTCGCAGGCTGATAAACTAGGATATCTGATCTCGGTGGGTCTTAATGAGGCTTGATACAGACCTCAGTCAGTATACTATATTATAATATGTATATTATATGGCTTAAAGTGTACATTCGCTCACATTATAAATGATAGTCGGGTTGCATTTTTCTGGAACTTTTTAACAAGGTTAATCTAAAAATATTATAGTCTGGTGGTTTAACACGTCGTGTTGATCTGTGGCGCACTCATAAAGCGCAGGGCTGGAGTGACTTTTGCTGTTGGGACTCGGGTTTGAGTCCAGCATAAACTTTTTTGTTATTTTCATGTCGATGGACACTGAATATTATGTGGTTTGAATAGAGGATTCCTAATATTGTTTGCCGAGACCAACATTAATGACCCATCAGCATTTTAAAGTCTAATATCCCTGCACATGCAGCAATGACATTTCTGCTGCTATCTTTGCAAAACGAGTTAACAGTCACATGTTATCTGGATGAGTGCTGAAGAATGTCGTTTTTATAAGGGATGTAGATGTGTGTGTCTTTCATATTAAACATGATCGCTGGTAGATAGCCACAGAAGTCGTAACACAGTTTAATCTGGGCGGATCCCATTTTCCCATGGGCGAATCACAGTTTACCTGAGAGGATCACAGTTTAACACAGCTGAAAACTTCTCCACGCTGCTTTGAAACTCTGAGTAAACAATGTACGCTTCACTGGGAGGCTGTCTGAAGGTGTACACGTCTCAGATGGACTTGGTATCACATTAGGAACGATATTCAGTGATAAGTCGGGCAACAATAGCTGGTTTTAAGGATTTATTCGAGCGGATCACAGCTTAACACAGCTGAAGACTTCTCCACGCTGCTTTCAAACTGTGAGTAAAGAACATGTGCTTCACTTGGAGGCTGTCTGAAGGTGTACACAGGTCTCAGATGGACTTGGTATCACATTAAGACCGATATTCAGTAATAAGTCTGGCAACAATAGCTGGTTTAAATGATTTATTGGAGCTCGCAATGTTTTGAAAAGACATCCCCAGTCAACTCGTTTTTCTTTTTGTAGTCTTCGCTGTTCGCGTCCGGATATCGCCATCGTAACCACAACCTCACACACTGGTACTGAATGTGCATTAAAGTGTTCCTATCCAGCCAAATATACCAAAAGATGTATGTAAACGACAGAAGAAGCGATCGAAATGTGTATTTCAGTCGAAGGCCACGCCTCCACATTTGTCAACCAGTTGATCGGGGAACCAGTTAATCCGGAACACCGGTGGCCGTGGGATGCGTCTCTGTGTTGCCTCTGCAAGAGCTGCAACACGTTTTGGAGCACCGGAGAAAAAAGTGGAAAAAGCAGTTAGATCTGCAAAAAACACCTTCAGGATGCTCATCCTTGCTGAACACAGTTGCTGCAGGGTCAGGTTCAGTTGGTGGGCGTAGCAGTGAACAAACTGAGCGTTTGGGTACGTCTCCTTCATCACCGTCTGTACCCCGCGCACGTTACCGCTCATGACGGCCGCCCCGTCATAGGTCTGAGCGATTAGCTTTTCTTTCAGCTTCAGGGGTTCCAGAACAGCCTTGATGCTGTTAGAGAGACCTACACCAGTTTTTCCCTTTACTTCCACAAACTCCAAAAAACGCTCTGTAACTGTGAGGTCAGGCATAATGTATCGCAGCACAATCACCATTTGCGATTTACAGGAGACATCGGTTGTCTCGTCGGCCTGGACGGCAACAAATGATGTGTTGTCCACTTGCTTGGCTATTTCCTCCCTGTACACATCATACATGCAGTCCAAGAGTTCATTCTGTATGGTGCTTGATGTCCCTTTGAAAACAAGCTGAGCTTCGTAGTGCCGTCGAAGCCTGGAATCGCCCTCACACATTGTCTCGAAAATTGACCTGAATATCCCTGGATTCAGAGAGTACGCCGACTCGTTGTGGCCCCGCAGTGCTGTCTCACATTTCCCACACAGTTTAATACAGGTGATGATCCGACCAAGCACGTACCTGTTTTCTTCCACCTTCCTATTATGAGAATCAATGCCGCGTCTGTAGGCGCTGTCAATCTGACCTGCAACATTCACCCTTCCAAGTAATCCCAATTTTACGGCATTTTCCAAATGACTGTTGCTGCTCTCATGCTTCATTGTCCTCTCCGAAAGATGCTTTAAGTCCTTGTAACCTGTCCTCGACCAAGTACCTTGATCTTCACCAAAAAGCAGGCAAGGAAAGCAAAAGAGGGAATTCTTCTGGATGCTCGCCGTTAGCCATTTCTTTTTAGCAAACCACTCAGCGTTAAACCCACGTTTAACTTTGCCCGCAGTCTGGACCATTTGGAAATCCGGTGGATGGTGGGCAACGAGGCGCTTTACCTCCAGTTTCTCTCCGAGACTAAGTGTCTCAAATGTGTGCTCCAGTAAATGGTCAACTTCATTCATTTTCTTTCAGTTTTTTACTTCTTTTAATCGCTGGTGATGTTAGCTATATGCTGCTCTCTCGTCTCCTCTTCAAACTACACGTGACGTTTCGCAGCACTGCACACGTGAGTACTTACAGCCAATCAATTCTGAATTATGTGAGATGACGTATGGTGGGGATGGGAGCACTATGCCCCTACGGTCATTATTTTTTTGCCACACACATTAAATAGAAAAATACTCTGAGCATGCGCAGTGTAGTTTTTACAATCACCGTTCACTTAGACTGTGAGAGGGAGGGGCAGGATCGGGTTTTGTCCCACATGGCTCTAAACAGCTCAAAACGGCACTCTAGACACTAATTAGAAGAACACAGACTTAAACAGAAATGTACAGACGAATCAGATTATTAAACATGACCTTAAAATATATTTTATATGTTTTTTAATTTATTTTTTAGTATTTTTTTGTAATCATTATTTGTAATACTTTCTTCTGACACTTACCTGCCCCTAATGACCCGCCGCCACTGCGTGTATCCATCATTTCCTGGTCTTCTCTAAAGAAGAGGGACCAATGGAAACGTTGTCATGTTGCCGTTGTTCAGCATGGAAACATTCATTAGCTAACAATGACATTATTGTTCTATTAATATAAAGGGAGGTCAGGTACTCTTTAAAGCAGCTGCTAGTTATGGGTACTTTTTACTGAAGTACACTTCAAAGCCTCTTTACTTTGACTTGAGTAAAGAATTTTAGTCAGTACTTCTACTTTCACCAGAGTATTTTTAAACACGAGTATCTGTACTTCTACTTGAGTAAAGGATGTGTTTACAATGCCATCTCTGGTAAACAGGTAGCTTTGTAAATATGTGAATATGTGTGTTGTTGTCTTTTTTCAGGTAAGACCTTCACCCTCTCCATCAACGTGATGACCTCTCCTCCTCAGGTCGCCACCGTACACAAAGCCATCAAAGTAACTGTGGACGGACAGCGGCTGCCGAGACGTCAGTAAACACCAGAGGATGAAATACATACATTAAAATCATGTTTTTATCCAAAGCTAACTGTTCTTTCCTGTGTTTGAACAGGACAGAGGCAAAAGGAGGTGAAATCAGGAGTGTTCAGGGCCGCCTGCAGCAGCACTGCATCAACAGGTAGGTGTACTTTAATCCGATTAACATAGCCCAACATTAGCCGCCTTTAGCTTAGCGGTGGTGACGTGAAGTCATGTGACCGTGCTGTAGTTCCTTTATAGCCCAACATTAGCCACCTTTAGCTTAGCGGTGGTGACGTGAAGTCATGTGACCGTGCTGTAGTTCATTATAGCCCAACATTAGCCACCTTTAGCTTAGCGGTGGTGACGTGAAGTCATGTGACCGTGCTGTAGTTCATTATAGCCCAACATTAGCCACCTTGAGCTTAGCGGTGGTGACGTGAAGTCATGTGACCGTGCTGTAGTTCATTATAGCCCAACATTAGCCTCCTTTAGCTTAGCGGTGGTGACGTGAAGTCATGTGACCGTGCTGTAGTTCCTTTATAGCCCAAC